ACCCACGTCCATCAAACTTCCGCACCTGCTGCGCAGAGGATTCGGTTCCGTTCATAACCACCATGTATACCACCTATCACACCAAAATCATGCCGCTACAAATGCCTACCTCCTCAAACGGACACTCTTTCGAAGCTGCAACTTACTATTTTCAGCAATAAAAACCTCAACTTTCACCCGATCCACACAGTGGCACACACCTTTCCAAGGTCGTGGGTGATAACTACTGACGAGCAAACGTATGACAATCAAGGCGCCCCTTTGCGCTATGCACTACACACACTTCAACGTTGTCTTAAATCAAACAGCAATAGCTCCTTCTAATCGTGGTGCAAGTAGTCGATCTTGATGTCGGCCGCGACAATACCACCTCTGCGCACGTGCACACAATGTGTGCAGACACACTAATCAAATTCTTACTTTGCCCTTAATGCTCAACACAATACTTACACAAATCACTAATTACACCAGCGATTCACGAAACCACCAAATGTCTGTAATCAACTTGTGCCTTAAAGTGCATGCAACACATTTTTTTCTTGCTCGTACCATTAACCACACCATTGCCCATTTGGAAAACCGTCCGCATGCGTTCAAAACCTCCAATCTTCAATTCAAATCTTATTTCCGTTACTTGTAAAAACAAGAGTGTATACCCTTGTAAAGGTATGCGCGCTGACCAATAATGGATTGCAAGGCAATCCAAGCATTATTCAGTTTACGAGTTTTTTTCAACAAATGGTTCTCGTTTGTCAAAAGTCTTGCCAAGGGGTTTGAATGATATAGACTTGCTAACTCCAAGCAAGATGGGTAACTCAGCAGGAGCTAAGAGGTGAAGAGGTAAATGCAAAGACATAAGCAATGCACTGAGAAAACAATGGTGAGGCTGCTTTTCTCACTAATCATTCGCTGCGGAGCACATAGTAATAAATGTGTCAAGCATCCAAGACGCATGCAAGAGATCGTGTGAGGCAACAAGGCATACCATCGAGAGCGTCCTTTTGTTTTTCAAAGCCAAATTTTGTTGTGTGCTACATTTTGCCGAATAAAAAAACACTCTGGCATGAAATTGGGTATTGGGTCTTTCTGCCTGGCGCCACCAGCCTTTTCCATTCGGTAGGCCGAGTTCCCAAGGAAGCAGCACAATAACTGCCACATGGGAACAAAATAGTTGAGAGATATATTGGTGGTTTAAAGTTGACAAAGTATACCCAAGCATACAATCACTCAAGATAGCAGACGATTAAATGTGAAAACACAAAAATGTTTGTAAACGTCATCCCAGTTGTAAAGAATAGGGATCTTCAACAAAGACTGCGGCTTCTGTCTCAAAGCCTAATCCAACAAATAGGTTACGTTGGCATACATCAATCACACTCTCTTTCATCTCGTCACCTAACCAGCCAACCAATCAATCTAACCAAAATTATTCAAGCAACGAAGCAATCAATAAAGCGATCAACCAAACAAAATAATATCTAGCTGCCACTGACCTCTTTTGCTTCTGATGAAAGATAGCAAAAAGCGGAATACGAAGGTTAAAATAAAACAAGACCGAAAGAATGATAGACTTCAAAGTAAGACTCGAAAATAGAATGCTGAACTTCTTTTCACCTATCGAAATCCAATCCAGATGCCCTTCTGATCTCTGAACACCCTGAACGAAGGAGACGCATGGAGAGAATGTGACCCCAATTAACGAAAAGAAATCAGCAACTAGGTCGGAGAATCCACCACGTGACGTCACGAGATGAGACTCGGTAAGAATGCGTTACAAGAAGCCAAGCAACAATCAACCAGAGAGATGGAGCAGCGAGAAAGCAGAGAGACAAGGCAAAGGAACGCGAGGGCTGCCGAGGAGTTTCGCGCTGAGCAGATGCTGCCAAGAACCATCCCCACTCAGTCAGACTGATATGCTCTCGAAAACTGCGCTTCAATTTCGTTCTCCATCGCCCTGCCTCTCTCTCTCTCTCTCTCACTCTCACTCATGCACGTTTCTACACCAGCGAATTCAACTGTCCATATCTACATAATCGCAATTCCAAAACTAAATTTGTCACACTTCGTTAACCAGTTTACAAGATGAAGTAGAACTAGAAGTTGTCGTCACTCACGGACGCGTGCAACGGCTGCAACACCAAAACACCCACGTTGTTGTAGAGGTTGGATTCTACGCAAAAAAAAAAAAAAAAAAAGGTCCATTCTAGACGTACGACAGCCACCTTTCAGTATTCAGCTCTCACCTTGTATCATCCCCGGAACAGTCCAATTATGTCGTTGTTGTTGTCGTTTTGTTGTGCAAGATATCTTTTTTTTTTTTTTTTTTTTTTTTTATAGCAAGGCCGTTTAAGTCTGATCTTCGCTCCTTTGCATGTCCTCAGCAGGGAACGCGAGAAAGAACAACAAAAAAGAACTCATGCCGAGGACTTGCGACTCCTTGCAATCAACAGTCTGTTAATTGCAAAAATCGATTTATTATTCCTGATAACGGTCGACTGCAATGGAATAATTGACGACCATTTCCAACAAACGGCACTGCAAACGGAATGATCATCATGGCCACTTCCAACAAACGGCACTGCAAACTGAATGATCATCATGACTAGGCTATTTCCCAAGCGGGCTTCCAAAAATAACGGCGGGAAAATTGCAGCCAACACTTCCAACAAACGGACTCTGCAAAACGGATAGTAACCGGTAGGCGCCGTTGTAACAAAACGGACAGTAACTGATAGCCGCCGTTAACAAAACGGAAATGGACAGTAACTGAGAGTCGGCGTTTTAACGAAACTAACAAAACGGACAGTAACTAATAGCCGCCGTTTTCCCAAACCGGACAATAACTTATAGCCGCCGTGAACCAAACAGACAGTAACTGAGAGCCGCGCTTTTCCCAAAACGGACAGTAACTGGGAGCCGGCGTTTAACGGAACAGACAGTAACTGACGGCCGCCGTTTTAACGAAACGGACAGTAACTGAGAGCCGCTCTTTTCCCAAAACGGACAGACGGACGGTACCTGATAGCAGTCTTTTTCAAAACGGACTACAAACGGAAAAGATGAAAGAGGGGCAAACGGCGAGAGAACGAAGTTGTACACATCATATGGTATTTCATTCTTCGCCTCTTCTCCCTCTTTTCCCCTCCCTCTGTCTTATCTCCTCCCCCATTCCCCCTTCCCTCAGGGCATGCTCAGACTAGGACTTTCAAATTGTCAACTTAACCGTGGACGTGATTACGATCAGGTGCATCCATGCCTGACTGTAAAAACAAGCAGGTACATCCAACAATTCAACATCCTCGTGTGATTACGGCCTCCTCTCCTCAGTCCATTTCAAAAGAGCCAACCCCCAGAGGAAAAAAACAAGTAAAACAACCTACAGCAGAGGTACCCTGCCCCCCTCTCCCCCTTCTCCCCTCCCCTCCCCCTCCCCCTCCCCTTTCCTTTTCCCCAGATCACGGAATTTAAAGACCCATTGTCGGCGAAAACTCTCTCTTGCTTGGCAAGCTCAAGATCGCTATCAACCATATCATATCAACGAGCTCTCGAAAGCCAACACCTG